GCACATGCCTGTAGATTGTCAGAATGCTGTTCCCTATGGCACATCCCAGTGTTCAGGGATGCAAAGTGATGTTCCTGTTGCTGTTCTTGATTTTGGATTCTGTAGGTCAGTGGGTTTTTCTAAGTACAAACATAAGCCCTTATCAAGGAACTGGACTTCTAAAACATGTAAATAAAAGAACAGATAAGGGGACAGAATATGTACATTGAGGCCATTTGCCAAGCCGGAGAGCAAGGCTTGAGGATATTCACACAGGAAGAGGCTTCTTGAAGATTTATTTTGTACCATTACATTTTTACCATACTTTAGTCTTTTAATAAATAAAACAGGGTAGTGGTGATTTAAGTAATTTTGTATGCATTTTACCATTATGCAAGATGTACGTTCACAAAATAGTGAGATGCTGTTTGTTCTTGCAGGAACGCCTTGCTGTGTGGTGCACTGTACTGGCCTAGTCCACAGTCTCCCACATGACATCCCAGTTTCAGGATTTCTTTACTCTCACCTGCCTTAGGCAGCATCAGCATCAGTAGTCTAATTTACAAGCATTTCCCCAAGATGGGATCTAGCCTGCCCTGCTTCAGTGAAAGAGTGAGTGATGCTTTCAGAGTTGGGATCATTTTTGACTTGGAAAAATGAGACATGAGACTACCCTGAAACACACACATGTGCCATCATCCTGGGCTTGGGCCTCTGGTGATGAATACAGTCCTACTAACTCTACTTACATCAACTCTGTCTATGGATTCTCTGGACTGTTTGTTGTTGCTTGCCCCTGGCCACTAAACCTAACTGGAAATGTTCATGACTGACTTTCTAATAGAGCCTGACTGAAAGTGAGGCCACTGACCTGGGACTCACCACTCTGGTTCTGGCTCACAAGCCAATCCACTCCCTTGCAGGGCTAGGTCACCATTTCTTATCTTTCTTTCATCCACCTGACTCCACTCATCTCAGCTGATGGTTTTGCATCATATTTCACTGAGGTAATGGAAGAAAATTTCCTTCCTGCCTCTTTCATAATCTGGTGATTTTCTTGACTATCTTCAGCATGCAAATCTAACCACCTTTCGCCAGTTCCACACCATTCACCCACAATCAGCCTTGCATGAGTCTCTGACAGCACTCACTGTTCCTACCACTGCCCATGTGTGCACCTGCAAACACACACACACACACACACACACACACACACACACACACACACACACTCTCACACACACACTCTCTCACACACGCCACCACCACCACACCACAACACACACTATTATCACAACAGCCAGGGTGATCTTGTGGCATCAGTCAGATCTCATGTCCTCTCCTGGAAACTCCTGGCAGCAAAGACAAGAGTATTCACAAGCCACTCACCCACGTCCCGGCCTTTGGTTCTGCAGACATTCCCCCATTCCACACAGCGACTACTTGTTTCTTCACGCATATCAAGCATGCATCTGCCCTCAGTACTGGTTGTCCTTCAGTCAATCTCTTTTCTCTTTCTGACTGACTTCTCTTATGGATAAAACAGCAGTTCTTTCTCTACAGTCCTCCCATGCTTTTGCTCCCCTGTGCACCTATCACCTGACATTTTACTACTTAATTACCTGCTACACCCATCCTATTCCAATGTAAGTTCAGTGCTGGCAAGAACTTTTCGTGGTTTTTGTCTTCTTCTGACCACGGCTATCTCAATGCTTAGCACTGTAGGTGCCAATAATTAGCTAGCAAGTCATTTATCCTAATCCTTGCTGATGTTTCAGCATCTCTAGGGTTTTGGTTTTGGTTTTGAAGTTTTGTTTTGTTTTGAGGCAGTGTCTCATGTATCTCAGGGTAGCCTTGATCTTTCTGGGTAGCCGAGGGTGACCTTGAACTTCCAATCCTCAAGCCTTCACCTTCCCAGTGCCAGGATTACAGGTGTGTACCACCATTCTTGGCTGATGGGATTCTGGAAATCAAACCCACAGCTCATGCCTAGTATGCAGGCACTAAATCCCCAGCCCAACATTTCAATATCTTTAGATGAAGTTTATAATGTCTTCTAAAAATAAGGTGTTCAGACTTAAATTTTTTTTAAATACTAATTGTAAATATTAACTGAACTCAATTTCTTCACAGCAAGCATTTTCCTAGTGACTAAAGCTATGATGTACGACTTGGCTGTGGATCTCTTTATGAAAAAAAAATCTCATTATGAAAGTAACTCTGAGCTATTTAGGCATTGGTATGATGACAAGTTAATCAGATTTCAAGTAAAAGACAGCCTCTAAGGCTCAAGAGGAAGAGAAACATGGAGTATGGCTTGTCTATTGCTATTTTAGAAATGCTTTTACAGGTAAACAAAACTTAGAGAAATTTTATTCATTTTGAATTTTTTGTAAGCCCCCAAATGATCTGATTTGTTTTTCTTTTGGTGTGTGTGTGTGTAATGAGGGACAGAACTGGCACCCTCGCACATGGTAGGCAAGTGCTCTACCACATAGCTGTATCCTCAGCCTTGATTTGCTATTTTGACATACTGGTATTTGTACTGTAGTCATGGCAGGAAGAATCCCAATTACTTCTAAGAGGCCACATACTAATAACCCTGATTCTAATCCTCTGTGATCACGTGGTGTCATGAATGTGCTTTGTAAAAGCAGGGTTATTAGAGGGAAGCAAGGTGATGCTTGTTACCTCTTTTTTTTTTATTAAGAAATGTTTTATTCATTTTACATACCAAGCCCAGATCCCCCTCCCTCTCTTCCCTCCTCCCAACCCCCCAGCCTTCCTCCCCCAACCCACCCCTCATTCCCTCCTCCAACAAGGTAAGGCCTCCCATGGGGAGTCAGCAGAGCATAGTACATTCAGTTGAGGCAGATCCAAGCCCTTCCCCCCTGCATCAAGGCTGTACAAGGTGTTCCACCAGAGGTAGTGGGCTCCAGAAAGCCAGCTCATGCACCAGGGATGGATCCTGATCCTACTGCCAGGGAAGCCCCTTAAGCAGATCAAGCTGCACAACTGTCTCGATTATGTAAAGGGCCTAGTCCAGTCCCATGGAGGCTCCATAGCTGTTGTTCTAAAGTTAATGAGTTCCCACTAGTTTGGTTTGGTTGTCTCTGTAGGTTTCCCCATCATGATCTTGATGCCCCTTGCTCATAGAATAACTCTTCCCTCTCTTTGACTGGACTCCTGGAGGTTGACCTGGTGCTTGGCTCTGGATCTCTGCATCTGCTTCCATCAGTTACTGGATGAAGGCTCTATGATGACAGTTAGGGTATTCACCGATCTGATTATTGGGAAAGCCAGTTCAGGCACCCTCTCCACTCTTGGTAGTAGTCTAAGTTGGGGTCATCCTTGTGGATTCCTGGGAACTTTCCTAGCACCAGGTTTCTCCCTATCCCCATGATGTCTCCCTCTATCACAGTATCTCTTTCATTGCTCTCCCACTCTATCCCTGTTTCAGCTTGACCATCCTGTTCCTTTATGTTCTTATCCCCCATCCCTTACCCTCTATTGCCCCCCTCACCCCCAGTTTACTCATGGAGAGCTCATCTATTTCCCCTTCCCAGGGTGATCAATGCATCCCTCTTAGGGTCCTTCTTGTTACCTAGCTTCTCTGAAACTGTAGGTTGTAGTCTGGTTGTTCTTTGCTTTACATCTCAAGGACACTTGCTCAACTATGTTCACAGCAGCATTATTCGTAATAGCCAGAGCCTGGAAACAACCTAGATGCCCCTCAACTAAAGAACGGATAAAGACAATGTGGTACATATACACAATGGAGTACTACTCAGCAGTAAAAACAATGATATCATGAAATTTACAGGCAAGTGGATAGAACTAGAAAATATCCTGAGTGAGGTAACCCAGACTCAGAAAGACAAACATGGTATGTACTCACTCATAAGTGGATACTACATGTAAAACTCTTGTTAACTCTTAGGAAGTCACTTTTAAGGAAAATATCAGGCTGCTTGGTCTGAGATTTCAGGACTTCTCTCAGTACTGACTTCAAGGCTGAGTCCTTACCAGAGTTATGCTGGGTCGTGTCTAGGTCACTCTCTTTTGCTAGGCTGTCTGGAAAGCCCTTTTCGTTCCTGGAGTTTGTTCTGTGTAGCACCCTGTCTTGTCTGCACACAGCAATTGGAGTGATTTTGTGTTGGAATCCCACTGCCACTAACACAGATGTGGCCTGAGGGACTTGCTCCAGTCACTGGGCTCTCCTCCTCCCTCAGCCCCAACTCAACTGCTCCTTGACCATGCCATGCCCAGGCCCTTAGTTCTCGCAGCCCCATCTCCCTGTAAGCTCTGCTCTGACAGGTCTCATCATCTGCTCTTGTGTCAACAGCACCATTCCCAGAGAACCCCTCTGCACGCCACGATTAAGGCAGCCCCTCTCCAGCTCACTCTCTAGCCTATCAGCACACTGTTTTTGTCCTAAAATTTACCACTGTCCCGACGTATTTCTGTGCTTGCTGCCTGTCTCTCCCATTTCAGTGTGAACAGCCAGAGTGTGCTGTTTCCAGAAGTACTGACTCCGGTACAGGAGTAGTGTCCGGCTCACAGTAGGTGATCAGTAACTATGTTCCTTGGATGGATGAATGAATCAGAGGAGAACCAAAACTAAAGGAAAACTGCAGCATCCAGATAACTACTGCTCTCCTGGGAAACCAGGGGGATGCCTTGGACTATGCCTGCTCAAGATCTGGAATGCAGAATTCAAAGCATTCGTTGTTTAGTAACTCTTACACTAAAATAATTCTGGCTCTGTGTGCTGGTATATGCCTAAAGTCCCAGCACCTAAACTGCTGAGGCAGGAGGATTACAAGTCTGTACCTAGCCTGGGCTATACAGCAAGACCCTGTGAAGGATTGTGCTCAGTTCAGTGTCCTGATCACACTGGCAAGTTTTCCTTCAGGTCGAAGCCAAAAGTTTAAAAACAATTTCCCAGCAAGTCAGTAGTACAGACGAGAGTGGGGAAGGCCTATTGTTCATGGATTAAACAGTAAACAAAGAGAATAAACTTCAGGCATAAGCAATTTATTTTCCACTAAAATTTAAAAGCCAATATTGCATTAAAAGTTTATTTTTTTACAAATCCTGAAACAGGCAATAAAAAGTCACCATGCATTTTCTTTCAGACATATTCAAAAAGACAGAAATCAATTGGCATTACATACATACTAGAAATCAGTCTCAGATATAAATGTGTCTTGGTTAATGCCAAAAATACATATACAGGACTGGGCAGTGTGTATATTTGGTTGTTGATAGTTATTTACATATTTAACACTTTTCTTCTACATAGTTTGCTTGGGAACAATCATGAAATTCCATGTGACCTAGATAACAGGAATCTGCAGCAGGGACTCATTGCTGAAGCATTGAAGCAGAGTTCCATAGCTGTAAATGATTTCACTAATAGGAAAGGAAGAAGACATACCGCCCCCACCACTGCCATTGACCCTTGTTTCACATTCAAATGACCGCAGTTTGACACAAACATGACAGCTGGTTCAAACAGCTTGAGATTTCAAAGTGCTTGAGTACATATAAATATTATGACTGATCGCATAAAGTGTTGGAAGACGGTTTAAGAAAGGTCCTTGGTTTAACAGCTTGCATTCTCCTTTCTCAGTTAAATAAAAATATCATAATTTTTGTTTCATATTTTGGGTTCACAGGAGCTAGAATAAATAAAAACATGAAGTTGAAGACAACAGAACCAACATTACAGGTTAAGACTGGATGCAAACTGCTATTTTGTGCAACACTTAAGGTTCAGATTTCTGAAGTTTGATGACAAGGCTGATTGTGCTCCAGATTAACTTCTGTGATGAAATGGCAATAGCATAGAAAACTGCATCTCCAAAAATGTATTTTACCTCCTACTTTATTTTCTGAGTAGAGACTATAGGGCAAAGCGAGCATTTGGGAGTCAAAGGCATATGAGACAAAGGTCCTTCTTGTACTTGGGACTCAAAGTCTCCAAGGCACACCTGCCTTCAAGCATGAGTTCTTGGAAATGGTTCTCATCTTTACTTTCCAAAGCTCATTCGTTTCTTTTTTGTTTTAATTGTAAAAATTATACATTAGTTCTTTAGGGGTTCTGACCCAGTATTCTGTGGACAAGAAAAACGTGGGATGACTGAGGAAACGATAAGGAAGCTAGAGTGGTAAACAAAAGTCAGAAAGATACCGTTTGTTCCTGGCCACGAGAGAGTAAGTTTATCAGCAGCACAGAGTTCAAGCAGAGGCTTTCCCATGAGGCTCTGAACACTTCCCCAAGCATTAGCTTCAATTAATGAAGAAGGAGTTGAGAGCGCCTGAGGGTACAGTCAGTTGACAGTGTGCTAGCAAACACGGGGCCATGGAACCGATCCAGGCATCATATAAACTGGGCACAGTGGCACATGCTTGTAATCAAAGCACCAGGCAGCTACAGGCAAGAGTATCAAAAGTGCAAGGCCATCCTTAAGTACACAAAAAATTCAAGGGCAGTCTGGGCTACATGAGACTCTGTCTCAAAACAACTATAGAGCAGGAAAAGCAGACAAAAAATAATTGAGAAAAATTGAGTGTGCCCAGGTGCACGCAGTCTAGGAATGACTACGGATTTAAGGGTGGAGGTTTATAGAGCAGACAGAATGTAGAGCCATTTTTGAGCAGGCAGGTGGGCATGGAAAGAGAAATGTGTCCATAGAACAAGCTGTGATGTATGGTGTTAATTCTGTGCTTCTAATATTTTAAAACAGGCATACACATAGCATAGGATTCAAACAATACAGCAAAAGATCAAATGAGAGTGAAGTAAGCTTCCCACAGCAGGCCCCATTTGTGTCCTCCTCCAGAAGAGGACCACTTTCTTATACATTCTTCTGGTGATACTTCCTGTAGAAACAAACCTTCCTTTTCATATTAAAAGCAGCCTTCATACAATGCCTTCACTTTTCACCCAGGACATGGAAATCCTATTGTTCTACAGCTGTCTTTCTTTCCTAAAGAGATTGTGGACTTCATTGCTTCAGTCTTTTCCCCAGATGCATTATGTGTGCACCTGCCAGGTCCTTGTTGATGGGCATTCAGAACTGATGGGTAGTGGGATGGGGTGGCTGTGTGTGCTCTCTTAATACATTCCCTATGATGTCAGTGGCTTTCTTTTGAGATAGGGTCTTGTTATGTACATAGATAAGGTGAGGCTGGCTTTGAACCTCTAGAATCCTTTTGTCTTTGTCTCTCAAATAGTTGGGACTTGAGTTGTATGCACTTGGCTTAATGTGTACACTTTCATTGAATTTGTAGTTTACATCTCCAACAGGAAAAAAACCCCACATTTAAAGGGTATATTAATTTCTCCTTTGTTTCTGTAGGGAAGTGCTCTGACAAAAACATCTTAAGGGAGAAAAAGTATTTTGGCTTATAGTTCCAGAAGGATAGCGTCCATCCTGGCAGGAAAGGCATGGTGGCCAAGAGCAGGAAGCTGCCTTGTCACAGTATATCTACACTCAGGAAGCATCAAGAAAACAGCAAGTTAGACTTATTGTCTATAAGACCTCAAATCCCATCCCCTGTAATGTACTTCCTTCCGTGAGACCCCACCTCCTAAACAGACCCAACCTTCCCAAGTAGTGCCACCAAGTTGTCAAACACATGAGCCTATGGGGGACATTTCACATTCAAAACATAACAGAGGCTTAGAATGTCGTCATATGATCCTTTGCATGGAGGCATGGTGCTGTGGGATGGTCTGTATGTCAAATTGCTCTGATTGGTCAATAAATAAAACACTGATTGGCCAGTGGCTAGGCAGGAAGTATAGGCGGGACTAACAGAGAGGAGAAAAGAAAGAACAGGAAGGTGGAAGGAGTCACTGCCAGCTGCCACCATGACAAGCAGCATGTGAAGATGCTGGTAAGCCACGAACCACATGGCAAGGTATAGATTTATGGAAATGGATTAATTTAAGCTATAAGAACAGTTAGCAAGAAGCCTGCCATGGCCATACAGTTTGTAAGCAATGTAAGTCTCTGTGTTTACTTGGTTGGGTCTGAGCAGCCGTGGGACTGGCGGGTGACAAAGATTTGTCCTGACTGTGGGCAAGGCAGGAAAACTCTAGCTACAGAAGCATTCTGTGTATTTCTTTGTATTCAGGTTAGAGTCCAGTCCTGGTTGTTATGACCCTGTTTGGACAGGGCTCTGTCTTTTCAAAGTCTTTTGGGAACTTCTTTTCTGGTCCCCCATTCAAGCCCTGCTGTTGACTCCTGTGCCATGCTGTCTCCTTTACCTTGTAATGAGAAGATAGATGCACCTTTGTCTTTTCCTTCCTGTCTCCAGAAGTGCTTCCTTCTGTCCCTCATGCACTCTTCCTCATCAGCTCATGACTTCAGCACCAGCAACTTCTGTAGAGACAATGCTAGTCTAACTTAGGCTCCCTTATTAGTTGCTTTCACAGAAGATAAATGATATCTGTCTGCATTTTGGCTACTATCTCCCTCATTACCACTGTTTATTAGTTAATAATAACTGAAGAAGTTCTAATCTACTACAACCACTGTGGTCTCGGTATACACACAACACATGCAAACATGCTCAGCGCAGTAGGTTTCTTGTAACATAATCTCTAAGGATTTAGCTGGGGTTCTTATGCCTCTATTGGCTAGGCCAGCATTCCAACACTGAGCTACACAGTGGCCTGCTTGCCATCATGTTTTGTGGGGCATTGTCTTTAATCCAGAATTTGGAGAATTTGGAGTTTGACTTTTCAGTTAATACAAGTTTTTTTACATTCTTGTTTTTTTTAATTAACTATAAATCTAGAAGGTATATATGAGCAAACAAAAATAAAAAGGTTTTTTTTTTCCATTTTATGGCTCAATTGAGAGGGTTATATTTCAAGAGAAAACTAAGCTTTTCTGATTACATTTCAGGCTTCCAAATGAAACAAAGTTCTCTTTGGGAAGAGTACCCCTCCAAGCACAAAAAAAGGACTTTCTATCTATAACATGACAGAAAGGTCTCTGGTAGGTCTTAAAACAGGTGAGATGGTTTTTATCCTGCTTGAGACAGGGTTTCTCTAAACAAACAAATAAAAAACCCACCAAAACAAAACTAAACCCCCCGGGGTGGGGTGGCACATTCCTTTAATCCCAGCACTCACCACTCAGGAGGCAGAGGCCCACGCAAGCCATATATTTTAACATGATTGAATTAAATGAATCTGACTGGATTCAGGAAACTTGATGAAAAATTGTCTTCCCATGTCTTAGCTATTTTAGATGTAGTAATAATCTGCCCCTATTCTAAGAGAATTCTTCATTGTTAAATTACTTCTCTTTTTACTTACTACTACTTATTAACCATGGACCTTGAATTTTAAATGTTTCCTGAAAAGGTGAGTGACCCTTTATAAAAATTAATTCTTCCCATTATTTTTGATCATCCTAGGGCTTCATAGGAGTTTACTGAACTTGTTACGAAGGAATTTGTGTGTGTGTGTGTGTGTGTGTGTGTGTGTGTGTGTGTGTGTGTGTGTGTGCGTGGTTTTCTTTAGCAGTAGTTGGAGGGTTTCCAATAGCTGACAATAAGCCCTTTGTGCACTGCTCCCTCAGCTTCCTGCAGGTTCTGGAAGGAGGGGACAGGACTGCAGTGGCGATCAGTGGTCCAGCGTCCTGCCTGCCTTGTCCATTAGCTCCCCTGGGCTTTAGAGGCAACTTTGCTGTGTATCTTCAACAGTAGCTTGCCTGTATCTAAGTGCCACAGGGGCTTCCTCATGTAAGAGGCGGGTGAATTGAGGGTAAAGTCCGTGGGAGATAAGTGACTTTCCTAGCAAGTTCCACAACAGCACTTATTAATCACCTTTTGCAGCCACCATTTTACAACAGGGAGACTTTGATTCATTGACACAGGTATTTGACGTCACATTGAAAACTCGAGGAGGAGGCTCACCTCCTCAGGGCATCTTCTATCATAGTCCAGCTTCACTGGGCAATTCTTTCTGCTCATGGAGAATGAACATAATTCTTATAATTTAGTGGAGTTTTCTAGCTGCTTCATGTTTTAGTATGTTGAGATGAGGTAAGATACGCTATATTTGGGTTCTGGATTCCAGTATGTACTGGTATCCAGAGTTCATGAATTCCTCTCTCTTTCCAAGGCAGACTCAAAAGTGTCTTCTGTTTATTCTTCTGCCTCCGAGGCCCTGAGCAAAGGGTTCCCATGCACTCCTTTTCCCTAACTGCCCTTGACAAGGTCTCCTGCGGCCTCCATTGTGCATAAGGCAGTAGTCCACTAGTGTCTTCCTCTGACCTGGGTCCTGACCACCATTTAGTGTGTGGAGGCACCACTTACTTTCTTCACGTGCCTTCTGAGGCACTAACTTTGTGTAGCTGTTTCCCACCTGATGCCTGAGGTTCCTCCATCTCTTTGGATGGCTCCCTCTTTGTCTTCCTGACTTTATTAGAAGTCATCTCTGGACACGCAACTTCTTTTCTAGCGGCACCTTCTCCCTTGATGGCCCCATCTTGTCCTTGCCTTGAAACCACCGACATGCCAAATTCCTTTCTCTAGCCTCTGTATCTGTCCTGGGAACCATGCTCACACACCCGCTCTCTACTTCAGAAGGCTGTCTGGTAAACATCTCAAACCTAACCTGAGCCCAGCTGCCCCACCTTCTTCCCATTCAACTGGCTCCCCCTCTTTTTAGTAGTGAGAAGTGAGAAGCGAAAGCCTTCATGCCATCCCTAAGCATTCTCTCAGTTTTGTGGCTCGTGGGTAGTCCACCTGGGATACTATCATTACTATTCCCTTATTTCAGCTGCCTTCGCCTGTGGTGGGAATTGCCACAATGGTCATCTGCTGCCATCTATTCTCAGAAGAGGGACTCTTTAATCACGTAAGCAGCTGACTCCATTCCCGTCTTCAAAATCCTCCACCTCCAGCAAGAGCCAAAGTCCTTCGAATGGCCAGACAGGCTCCTCCATGTCTGGGCTGCTATCCTAGCCTTCTGTAGGCACTCAACCGGTTTCCTTCCTGTATGCTTTCCTTCCTGTATGCTGCTGCCTCAAGGCTCACTCTGACTTTTCATCAGGTGCACCTGTTCATGTGCCCTCACTAACCGCAGGTCTTGCTTTGAAGGTCACCAAACAAAGGCCCTATTTCATAGTGTCTAATGTCTACCAGTACCTCAGGTCCGCCTTCTGGTCTACCTGACCTTCTCAATGTTGTACTTATTTTCCATCTTATTTAAACCTGCCTCCCCGAGCATACTCCCACTCACACAGGCAATCCTGAGGGCAGGAAGCTCCCTTACAACTTATTGTTGTCTCCTTGATACTGAAGGAATTCTTGATGTACAATAGGCCCTTGGCATGTTTCTAAAAATGAATGCACAGTTTAAAACGTTGTCATTTCTGGGCACCTGAGGTGGGGTTGAATCCACACTATCTGCTGAGAGCTGAAACTGTAGCAATATAAGAATTGTAGTATGTGGGCTGACCAGGCAGCAGACACCAACTGAGTGGCGTGTCACTGAAGACAGAGGAAGGAACAAGAGTTGTCCCTGTGATCATAAGCTCACAAACCTCCCTCCACTTAAAATTTTGATTATACTTAATATATAAAATGGAAATTAAAATAATCTGTATTGACATATAAAGAATACTGATTGCAATCTCCTCTCCTCTCCCCTACTCTCTTCTCCTCTCCTCCCTCACTTCTCTTTATGTTCCAGATGGTCTGGAATTGGCAATCTATACCAGGATGGCCTCCCACTCAGTTATCTGCATGCCTCTGTCTCCCAAGTGCTGGGGTGGTTTGCCACCATGCCAGCCAAGTAAGAGCTCCTTCTCTGCCCACCGTAGGCCTGAGAGAAAGCAGCAGCGGCTCACCTGGGCCCCCATTTACTTTTGTCAGATGCACACCCCCCTTACTGCCAGAGTTGATTGCTAACCCGAGTTTGGTGTTTACCATTCCTACAACACTTTTTCTACATAAGGATTCCTAAAACACAACAGCATTCTATGTGTTCAAATGGTATAGAATGAAGATTTTCTTCTTTTGCTTTCTTCACAGGTGTCATCTGTGTTCACACACACACACACACACACACACACACACACACACACACGTAACTGTTCCTTTCCATTTCTGTATAACATGCCCCTCACTTGTTCATTACATTGTTAACTTCCAATTTTCCTTCATTTGACAGCCTGTACAACAGAACTTTCTGGAATAATGTATATGACTGTATTTGTACTCTAAAAGGACCATATCTACCAGGCAGATATGGCTACTGAGACCTTGAAGTGTACCTGGGAGCTAAAGCCTTGACAATATCATTTATCTAGTCTTAATTAATATGGTTAATTGAGCAATGAATGGAAAAGTACCGTATTGTCTCAGATGTGAGTGGAATTACTCTTGGGAGTACCTGTCAGCTGCTGTATCCTTATTGTGGGAATCTTTCTAGAATAAGGAAGGACTCAGGTATCAATGAGAGAGGAAGAGAGGATATTTCACTGTTGGACTGAAGACAGGACAGCTCCTGAAATGCTTTGATACTTACTTCAGTTTTTATTCTAATTTTATTTTTTAAAACCACAAGGTGGGACAGGCAAGCATGGAAGACTTGACTGTGTATTTATAGCACAATTTCCTCTTCCATTCCTCTACAGCTGCACACTTGGCTGTGCCCAGGACTTCACTGTTTTCAATACTGCCATAATAAACATGATGTGCAAGACTCTGTGATCTCTTGATATGCAAGAGTGACACAGCTGGATCACATGGTGGATCAGGCATTGGCTTCTTAAGGAATTAGATTTCTATAGTGACTGGAACAGTTTACATTCCTACCAGTACTGTGTAAGTACTTCACCAGCACTTATTGTTACATGTTTTCTTCTTTCTTCTCTTTTAATTTTTTGACAGGGTTTCTCTGTGTAGCCCTGATCTCTCTAAGTATCCCTGGTTGACCTGGAACTCACTATGTAGATCAGCCTGGCTTTGAACTCATAGAGATCCACCTACTCTATCTCCTGAAACTTTTGGTTAATTTGACATATATGAGAAGAACACATCTTAAGCCTTGTAGCTTGAGTTTTCCTGCCTGGCCCACAGTCAGGACAAATCTCTGTCACCCGCCAGTCCCACAGCAGCTCAGACCTGACCAAGTAAACACAGAGACTTATATTGGTTACAAACTGTATGGCCATGACAGGCTTCTTGCTAACTGTTCTTATAGCTTAAATTAATCCATTTCCATTAATCTATACCTTGCCACATGGCTCGTGGCTTACCGGCATCCTCACATGCTGTTTGTCATCACGGAGGCTGGCAGTGTCTCTCTGACTCAGCCTTCCACTTCCCAGCTTTATTCTCCTCCTTGTTCCGCCTACAC